ACGAGAAAAATTCACTTCTAGTTTACTTTTATAGACTGACTATAAGCTAACTGCAATGTAATGCAGAGCTGTCCCGAAATTTTGTATTTGGCAACGTAAAGAACCGACTTTTAAATACTAACTACAAGCTAACTATAATGTAATGCAGAAGTGCCTCAAAATTATCTGGAGAGAATTAATTGTATTTCAACATGTTTTCTCTTGTTTCTCTATTATTATGATTTTATTTCTTAACTTTAGTAGACTGACTATAAACGAACAGCAATGTAATGCAGAAATGTTCCAAAATTTTGTATTTATTAACGTAAACAACCGACTTTTAAAGACTAGCTACAAGCTAACTATCATATAATGCGGGAGTACCCCAAAATTACCTGGAGAGCATTTTGTTTCGACATGTTTTCTCATGTTTCTTTATTATTTGGAATTTTGTTTTACATTTTTGTCATTTTCTTCTATACGTTGTGAAATTAGAGTCAGTAAATTGGAAAAATTAATTATATTAATTATATCTGCAACTAACTTTAAGTTAGTTAACAAAGAGTTACGTTTAAGCAAATTTTTTAGTAACTAACTTTAAGCTAGTTGAAAAGTCATGCAGAGTCGGACAATTGACTACTGCGTAGGACATCGCCATGTTAAAATAGTCAGTTGGCTCCATTAAAAATAATCCAAGAATCAACCATAACTAGTTGATGAAAAAGTCGGCTTTTAATACATTTAAAGTTAGTTGAGTTGCTGGCAGGGTTGACATACTTACATACATATTATGTATATATCGTTTTAAATGCAAATTTTCTTAGCTTGAGCCAATACAATAATATACATAAACTAGTTCTCGCAAAAAAGTATTGTATGGTTTTAAATTTACTCTCTAATATATAACAATTTACCTCAAATATATTCACTTTCAGAATGTAAATCCACGTTTTAAGAATGTTCACAATGTAAACGATAAAATATATTGAGATTTTTAGAGCGGGAACGACTTTTTTGTAAATTTTACAGACAAAACGACTTTATAAGCGAACTCTATGATTCATTAGATATAACGTACATTAATGAATAAGTCGAAGAATTTAGGTTTAAATGAATTGAAATTTTATAACACCCTCGATCAAGGTGCAATGTTCAACCAATAGTTTTGTATTTTCGAGAAAACATTGTTTTTGTAATTAAAATATATATGGTACTAACATTTTTATTATGTACATAATTAACAGATGTAGATTAATGTTATCACTTATATGTATGTACATATCGATCAAGTCTTGCAAGAAAAAGTAAAGGATGAAATTCATCAGAAATGCACCATTAACAGACTTCCAATAGCAATATCCGTCCATATGTTGAAAATACCATAGGGCAAGATCGGTTCACGATTTTACCTGACCCTATACAAGTGGAACCCGGAACACAGCTAGTTTTATAACTAGCGAAATATCTCTATAAAATTTGATGAAGGTCAATCCATAATATATCCTATCTCCCATATAAGGTTCCCCTCTCTCTACCAAGTTTTATGAGATTGTGTCCTAATTGAGCCTATCTCCCTTAAAAGACCCCTTCAGAAAATAACCTTAAAGCTAATTGGTAGCTTAAAGATCTCAGCATATTGATGAAATTTGGCATAAGCAAGCTTTATATAAAATAACTTATCTACCAAATGTTTTGACGATCGGTCCATAGTTGACCCCACCTCTCTCATATCTGGCTTAAAAAAGACAGTATAGCTATGAAATGTAACATAACCGAATTTTATAGCACAAAATTTTACCATCAGTAAATGATTTTAACGATTTTAACGTTATATATTTTTCTTCTATCTTCTATATATATACAAATTAATGTATGTATGTTTGTTTGGACATTATAGACCGCTAACTGAACCGAATCTTAAATACCCTCCACCAGCTACTTTTATATTAATACTTTTCTAATTGATCAAATATTTGTAGAAATAAGTTTTCTCATATCTTAAATAGAAAAATCCCTAGATTCAAACAGCTCAAATCTATTACAATTCCAAGATTTATTGAACATTACCAACGCTTGGCGATTTTTATTAATTTGCATGTATGCATGTGTGTGAAAGATTTAAGGATTTTCAAAATACATATATATAATTTTGTTCTACACAAATTGATAATGCAACTAGTTAAATACGGTTTTTGGGACAGGACCTAGTATAGGAGATATGACCAATTATAGACCGATCGTAAAAAATTCTTTAAGCAAAACTTCTGGACATGAAAGCTATATTTCAGTAAAATTTTGTATCTATATCGTAATTTAGTAATAAGTAATGTGTGTTATGAACCGATCGTGCAAAAATCTTGAAATAGAAATTTTATATCAATAGCTTTATTTGGTAATGAGTAATGTGCATTTAAGAGATTTTCGAAAGAGGACCTTGTATGGGAGCTATGTCCAATTGTGTATATAAAAACAAAATTTCAAAATTCTGTATCTTGCATGGGAGCTATGACCAAGGATAGACCGATAGCAAAAAAATTTCACAGTAATATTTCTGTTCATTTGAGCAATACTTGTACAAAATTTTATATGGATATCTTAATTTAGTAATGAGTTGTGTGCGTTTAAGTGATTTTCGGGAAGGGACCTTGTATGGGAGCTACGACCAATTATAGACCGATCGGAAAAAAATTTCACGGTAATATTTCTGTATGTGAGAGCAATACTTGTACCGAACTATATATGGATATTTTAATTTAGTAATGAGTGACATGCGTTTAAGTAATTTTCGGGAGGGGACCTTGTATGGAAGCTATGACCAATTATGGACCGATCGGAAAAAAATTCCACAGTAATATTTCTTTATATGTGAGCAATACCTGTACCAAATTTCATGTTAATATCTTAATTTAGTAATGAGTTATGTGCGTTTAAGTGATTTTCGGGTGGGGGCCTTGAGTGGGAGCTATGACCAATTATGAACCAATCGGAAAAAAATTTTAGAGTAATATTTTTGTGCATATGAACAATACTTGTACCAAATTTTATATAGATAACTTGATTTAGAAATGAATTATTTGCGTTTAAGTTATTTCGGGAGGGGACCTTGTATGGGAGCTATGTCCAATTATGGACCGATCCAGAAAATTTTTGCTCTGAATGAATTCTATTGACATAAGATTTTAATTTGTAAAATTTTGTAAAGATTTCGACTTTGTGACAGAAGTTATTAACAAAAAACCCATTTTCCGGGAATATGTACTTTTGTATGGGAGGTATATGAAATTGTGGACCGATTCTGTCAATTTTCAGCAGAAGCCAAGCTCTTGTGTAGAAACGAATGTATGCTGATTTTCATGGAATTATCTTTCATAGTTTTCGAGAAAATTACATCAGAATGTGTAAAAAATGCTTATTTTTTTCGAGGTTGTTTTAAATTTTGATTCATAACTTTTCCCGGTGTGAACCGATTTTGCTCGTTTTCAATACCAAACTGCCTAGGACAATAATGTGAATTTCGTTAATTTTTGTTGCTTCGTGTTAACGTGAGAATGTTTTATACAGACAGACAGACAGACAGACAGACAGACAGACGGACGGACATAGCTAAATCGACTCAGAATTTCATAAGGTCCTAGAATATATATACTTTGTTGGGTCTCAGATGAATATTTCTTGGTGTTACACACGGAATGACAAAGTTATATATACCCTCTATCACCACTGATGGTGGTGGAGGGTATAATAAGAGAAGGGGCTTATCTGAGAAACTTTAAGAGCTAGAATCCTGAAATTTTGCACGAACAACTTTAACGTGCATGTAAACATTTGGGTAATAAATTATCAGATTAGCCATAGGATTTAAATACAAAAATTGGTATATCTGGGAAACTATTGGAGCAAGAATCCTCAAATTTTGCATGGCCAACATTGAAAAACAAAAATTAATATATCTGGGAATCTGGCTTTAGGTCTCACGTATAAATTGATATTTTTGTGAACATTTAGGTAATAAATTGGCAAAATAGCCATAGGGCGTGTGAAACCTCCCATATGAAAAAATTCGTATACAGTAGGGTGATCGATTATTCGATTTTTTCCAAAAACGGGTTTTTGAATTTTTCTAATAGTAGACATTTGAAAAAAAACGGTTGATATTTTTTAAATTCAGAAAAAACGGTTAACCGGTTTTTCATTATAAATAACAAAATCTATTTCTATTTGAAAAATTTAGGTTTATGTTTAAATTTGAATGATAAAACATGGCCCGAACGTATTTTTAACAGTTTAAAAAATTATAATTTAGTTCTAGTTTTTTGATTTACATTATTTCTTTAATGTAAAAATTGGAAAAAAGTGGGACCCTTTTGTTAAACATTGTAATCCTAGCTTATTCTACATCCCTGTTTAAACAATTTTCATAGGCATTCCAACACTTGCATAATATTTTTGCCGCAAATTAATTATTGTAATAGGAATATAATCTTAAGATTGATACAATTTTATCAATCAGTTATTCCAATAAATTTAAAAAAAATTAATTTATTAGGAAAATCAAAAAAGTTTAACCAAAGGTGCGCTTGAAAAATATAATCTAGTTCCTGGACTCCAATATTTTAGACTAGCTGTATTATTCTTTACTTCAGAATTAAATTTAAGTAATCTTTGAATACAAAGCAAATAAAAGTATTCGAAAACAGTTTTTAAAAAGTAAAAAAAACGGGTTATTCGATATTCGAAAAATCAACATTTAGAAAAAAAAACGACACTGGTAAAGCAGAAAAAACTGGTTTTAAAGCCGGTTGAAAAACCGAGGCGATCACCCTAGTATACAGCAACATTTATACATGTAGTTTTAGAATCAATATATATATTTGGTTGAATATATTAAAATTTTTCTTCGCAAATTTGAACATTTGGAGAAAAATGGTCAAACTATTAAAAGTGGACATGGCACCTTTCATACGAAGTAAAAATTCTGTATAAATTTATGAGAGCTTGGTACATAATTAAAACAATCCCTGTTTGAAGGTCTTATTTCAACAATCACCCCGATTAGAAAAGTTTTTTTTTTAATATCACAAATTGTTACAATAAATTAATACATTTGATTAGATTTCTTAATTAATAATTAAAATATTAAGATTTGCGATCAAAATTAAACAGTTCGTTTGTGCATGCTAAGCAATGGTACATTCTTCAATTTCAAAGTAATATCTTCGACAAATTCTAAATCTTCATATTTAAATTCGGTTGTAAAACTATAATTTCTTAACAATTTGGCCAGTGACACCTTAGTCGATAACAGAGCATATCGCCAGCCTAAAAGTAGTAATATGTTAATAATGTTGATCAAATATGTGACGAATTCACTTACCAATACAGTTCCGTATGCCTTTGGTAAAGGGAATATATGCATAAGGGTGTTTACCCTCCATATTCGAAGGTAAAAAGTTGTAGGGATTAAATAAATGAGCCTCTGTTCCCCATATGTCTACTCGTCGATGCATATGAAAAATATCTATTGCTATTTGTACTCCTTTCGGTAAAATAACACCATTCGATAGACGAACTTCTTGAGACGTTTGTCGTGATACGATTGGTACTGGAGTCATTACACGCATAGTCTCATTAAGTACCATATCCATATAAATCATATCTTGAGTATTGCTGTAGCTAACTTCAAAATCTCCCTGATCGGGAAAGATTGAGAGGAGTTCTTCAAAAACTTTTTCTTGATAATTGGGAAACATGGCCAATAACATCAAAGTGTAGGCAATCGTATTGGCTGTCGTTTCAAAAGCCTTAAAAAATTACGGAATAAAATATTTTTTTGATCAATTAATATTAAATTCTAGTTAATTAATTTTTTTTAAATAAAATCATCTTACTCCAAAAACAATAACATTTGATTCATCTTCAACATTTTGCCAGGAGAAAATTCCACGCCTCATTAAATCTATGGCCAGATCAATAAATATATTTTTGGTACCGCTATCAGCATTATTATATACTCTAGACAATTTTTGATCAATAAGCTACAAAGAATGAAAATATTTAGGTGTAAAAAAAATTTTATGAATATTTAACTGCCTGTGACTCCAAATACCTTTCTTATAAATTTACGAATTTTCTTTTTGGCTCCATGATATGGTTCATAAATTCCCAAAAGCTTGCGTACAACACTACAACGTAGCCAGGGTGAGAAGCACATTTCTGTCATATTCTCTAAAACACTAGTTAAATATTATAAATCTCTTTTCATATTGGATCTATTATTATGTTGCCAAATAAAAAAAACTCACCATTGATAGCTGGACAATAGATCTGTATTCGATTCATTCGATTCCTGTGACACACTTTTTCCCATAGTTGTTTCTACAAAACAATTCATTAAATACCAGTAAATTCAAACAGATTTATACACCTACTAGTTGCTATATCCAGCGTAAATTCCTGTAGTATTTCCATCAAATCTACAGATTCCTTGGATTTCATCTGATCAATAGTTTTTAGTAATTTATTTATTTCCACATTGAATATCGGTATAAAACTTAACAAAACTTTATGACCAAATGCGGGATTTAATAATTTTCGATGAACACTCCACTCCGGATCTGTTGGATACATGATACAGTGATTGTAACATTTAAAATATTATTTCTACTGACCTTTTAAACTAAATAGCCCTTTACCAGTTCCATCATCTAACGCATCATAAATCACACCTTTGTTGATACAATAACGTGATGTCAGAATGTCTTGAACAATGGCCGGCTCACTAACAACCAGAAAAGGATATGGACCCAACCATGAAAATAATATTGAACCATATTTTCTGGTTTCTTTATTAAATGTCGAAAGTATATCTAAATGTTTGAAATACATGTTGTAATATAAATATAACACCACCTAATATGATTTTTATACCCTACAACATTGTAGTGGGGAGGGTATTATGCATTTTTGCTGACGTTTGTAACGCATAGAAATATTGGCTCTATACCCCCTTAAAGTATATCAATCGGCTTAGAACAATTTTCTGAGTCCGTCCGTCCGCCTGTTTATCCATATTTTCAGGGTGAATTTTACGATAAACTGGTTGTGAGAAACATTCGAGAAATAAATAGTAAATCTTTTACATTTAACATGATAATGACCCTGTCCTATCTTAGATGACACTCAGTCGAATTGAGTTGCAGGTCATGAAAGCAGTCTGTGAAATAAAATTGTCAACGGATGCGCTATTAATAGAACAGAACATATTCCTAAAAGGATATTCACATTCTCCTGACTGCGATACCAAACACGATCTATGAATGGTCAATATTCCGAACTAGAGTGGACCACTATTACTACTAGCAAAATATTCAAAATTTTGAGACCCATTTCGAAAAGATTGCTAAAATTTTATTTGGAACATATTGTACCGAAATCAAGATTTAAAAATACCATAACGTTTAACATCCCTCTTTGATAGTTTGATGTGGTTTCATTTCCCTATTTTAAGAAGAAAAATAGACAAAGATCTGATCTGAATGGAATACCGCGGCAGGTCCCATAATACAACATAGACATGAGTGCATCCTGTGTAAAAAAATTGTCAATGGATTGTCCTTGAAGAAAACTATTTCGTAAAAGAATATTTATATTCCCCTGCCAGCAGTATCAAACATAATCAATAAATGATCGATTTAAAAAATCAGTACTCTGAAAGTCCACCATAAATACTAGAAAAATATCAGAAAAGTTCTGGCCTCTTGACTCGCCTGTCCCTTAAACAAATTCGTAAAGGTATCTTAAAGGCATACACTATATGATTGGACGCAAGTCAGATAGAATAGACGAATAGTTATTTCAGATGTTGTTTTATCGAAGTAGAATCGGTACAGCTGTGAGACTGTCTCGCTCTATAGAGCGCATATTGATTTTGATAGAAGAAGCGAATGGTTATGTCTGGGATCATATTTTACTTAATGGTATCACAGTAAACCAATTGGCTTCCGAGTATTCTCGCTGAACAACTTTGTTAAGCATTTATGAGTATGGGAGGTGACTACGACATTAAAAAACTTATTTACAGTCGCTCCAAGCCAAACCCGGACATTTTAGTAAACTAAATTTAATCCCAAATATTGTGAAATTGGAATAGTAAAAAAACAATTGTTGTTCGATTTATCATTTTTGATCCTTTTTGAGACATTATGACTGCCATAAGACAACTTTATTTATAAAATGTAGTATGCCATCTGAAAGTCCATTCTGTCAACTTTAAAAGGTTTAACATCTGACCCATCTCGCACACCCAGTACTAAAGTGACTTAACTTAAAATTTTATTTTTGCGTTATTATATTCTTTAAGCCTTAAGTTTATACTTGAAAAACGTTGTCTTTCTTTATGTTCCAGAATTTGTTAAAAATTTGTTCCCTTTTCTGAAAAAAATGAGTTTAGTCATTTTTGTACTGGATGTGCGATATCTTCTTTCTTCTTCAAGATACATATCTTTATAACGAACTAAAATATTGGATCCACACATACCTGTGGATTTCTAATCGACTCAAAACTTTCTGATTTGATTTAACGATGTCTGTTCGTCCGGTAACTTCAACGGATGATATCTCATAAGTACCTCTTGCAGCAGGTTTTCAAATAATTCAAAAAAAAAAAAAAAAAAATTGTATAGGAAAAAATTTAAAATGTTTTATAAAATAAAATTCAGCTTTTGTCAACTGTTGTATCAAGCATTAGGTGAAGATATCTCGAAGAAGAATGATGATATGTCAGATATTAAGCCTTTATTGTCCCAAAAAGGGCCAAAAATGGTGTTTTGGATATGTGATCACATGTGATGGAGAAATTCTGAAGACAGATTCGGATTCAGCGCGTTAAACATTTTTCGGTCTGTTTAATTTAAACCAACTTATTAATAAACGTTTTTTATGTCATTCATAACGAGCATGTGTGAAAAGAAATACAACTAAAAGGCCTTTATTTTATTGTTATGTTTTACTCATTTTACGTTTTAAATACATGCATATTATGTACATATTTTATCACATAATTTTTTTCACATAAAACACACCTTCTCTACGCATTAAATGGATACCCATACCGATTAGAGGATAACCCATTGGTCCCGGAATTTTTAACATTAACGCATAGAATTTTCGGCGAATCCATAGCCAATAAATCCACAGAACAAGAATTAAACAAACAAATAAATACGGAATATTCATATTTGAACGTTGTGTATAAATGTCGCGCACTTTGCAAACTATTTTACTGTGTTTTGATTGATTGATTTTTATATAAAAATTAATAATTATTAATATGAGACACGAGCAAATTCGTTCGTGCCACCAAATTTACATGAAAATGTTAATAGACTAAATTAATGGGTTTTGTGATTTATCACATCAGAAATATTCGTTAACGTACATACAAACATTGATATTAAAATCAAGGAATTGCTAAGTATTACAACTACACATATAATTCTTTTTCTTTTTAATTCCACCTTTGTTTACTTAGTCATTGTTTTCGGAATTAAAAAGTGTACGTAATTGCATTTAGCGATTTTCATAGAATTTAAATGCCAAATTTCCGTTATTTGGAATTAATGTTAATTTTATTCGAAATCAACTTCCTTCTTTAAAGCAATGATCTTCTATTAAACTTTTATATAGTTATGTACTTCCGAACAATCAAATACATTAAGATAGTCCATTACAAATCTTGAATAAATCAGAAATTATATTTGAATAAAATTTAGAATTCCGTTGCTTCCTTATTAGTAAATTTATGAAAACATTAAAGCTACATCCCAACAGTCCTTAAAACTAACTGATCTTTCATAGCTCAAAAAATTGTGCAAAGGACTTTAGATAGCTATTTCTTCAATCTTTCGCAAAAACGTTTTTAAATTTTATTATCATTTACATATGTCTAGCCTACTATCCAATAATACTAACATAGGTGCAAATTTGATACAAATAGGAAGACATCGATTTTGAAAGTTGGGACACTTGAATCGAAATTGGCCATATATTAAAGAGAGATATTTGAACATTTAAGATAATTATGAACTCAAAAACCTTATTCGGGGGATACGATTGTATGGGGGCTATTTGTAGTAATGGACCGATTTCAACCATTTTCAAAAGGTCAAGAGATGAGTATGTGTCAAAATTCATCAAATTATGTTGAAAATTGCAACCTGTGCACTACAAATATCAGCACAAATGCATAATATCCTCCTCCACTACTTTAAGGATGTAGGGCATAATTACCCTACGGAATCAACGTTTGTAAAAACTTTACCACCCACAATTTTCTCGTAATATTACATTAAAAATTTTATGTAATTATAAAAATTAACTTACGTTTAAAGGTTAATTCGTTTTTTTCGATGTCATTATAAATATACATAGGTTTTTAAAATATATGTATGTATATCTCTCAAGTTTCATTTAAAGCGGTTGAAAACGGGTTCATAACAAATTTACAATGTTGCATAATTGAACTCCGACCTTTACAATTTTTTGGATTGCATTATTATACCCACCATCAAAAAAGATGGGGGGTATATTGATTTTGTCATTCCGTTTGTAACACATCGAAATATTGGTCATAGACCCACAAAAGTATATATATTCTGGGTCCTCATTAAATTTTAGGACGATCTAGCCATGTCTTTCCGTCTGTCTGTCTGTTGAAAGCACGATAGAGTCCGAATGGAAAGAGCTAGAGGGTTGAAATTTCACATAAATATTTTTATAGGTAAGGTTTGTTTGGTATTGAAAATGGGCAATATCGGTCCACGTTTTCGGATAGCCCCCATACAAGTGGCCCCTCGAAAAGCAGCTTTAACAGCCATAACTTGTTTAAAAATACGAATATAGCGATGAAATTCGACATAAGTAAGTTTCTTGTGATCCAAAATCACTATGCAAAATTTTATGAGGATCGGTCCATAATTGACCCTACCCTCCATATAAGGTCCCCTTCAGAAAATGACTTTAACGCTCATTACTGGCTTAAAAATACTAGTATATAGATGAAATTCGACATAAGTAAGTTTCATATGAGCCAAAATCTATCTAAAAAATTTTATGTTGATCGGTCCATGATTGACCCTACCCCCCATATAAGGTCCCCTTCAGAAAATGACTGCAACGCTCATTAATGGCTTAAAAATACTAGTGTAGCGATGAAATTCGACACAAATAAATTTAATACGAACCAAATTCTGTCTACCAAATTTTATAAGGATCGACCCATAATTGACCCTACCTCTCTATATAAGGTCCCCTTGAAATTCGACATATGTTTCATTCGATTCAAACGAGGTATGATGGTGGTGGTGGTATATAAGATGGTGGTATATAAGATTCGGCATAGCCGAATATAACACTCTTCCTTGTTAGTTTTTACTAAAACTTTGGATATTGTTTCCAATTGCTTTGAATTTTATATTTTGAAAAGTCTTGTAGGTTGAAATCGCAAATCTTCTTACGATTGCGCACTAAAGAACATCTACTTATTATACAATATCCAATCAAAATCGCCAATATTAGGCGAAATTTGATTGTCATTGTTGCATTATTACATTGACTACATTGTAGATCAATATTACTAATTAGATAATTTGTATGCAATTGAAATGCTTCGTACTAAGCTAAATGCGTGAATTATTACGTGGGTCATGATGATTTTTATGCAAATTATTTACGTATTTTCAACAATATTATTCACATTCTTATGAATTAGGCTTACGCATATATATAAGCCTATGTAAATCTATAAGGAAAAACTATTTTTGATTTGCACGAAATTTGTGGCGCTAAAAATTTGTACCAAATAGGAAGACTAAGGTTGCAAATAAGAAGAATAAGGTTATAAACAACGTTATAACTTTATAACGATTAAAAGTGGATACCAGTATTTATTAGGGTGATCGACTCGATTTTTCAACCGGTTTTAAAACCGGTTTTTTCTGCTTTACCAGTGTCGGTTTTTTCTTAATGTTGATTTTTCGAATATAGAATAACCCGGTTTTTTCACTTTTTAAAATCCGGTTTCGAATACTTTTATTTGCTTTGTATTCAAAGATTATTTAAATAAAATTTTTAAGTAAATAGTTATACAGCCCGTCTAAATTTTAAAAATATTCGAGTCGAGGAACTAGAGTATATTTTTCTACAGCTCTTTTGGTTAAACTTTTTTGACTTTCCTAATGAATTAAAAATTATTTGTAAAATGGATAACTGTTTGATAAAATTTAGCAATCTTAAGATTATATTCCAATTACAATAATTAATTTACGGCTGAAATTTTATGGAAGTGTTGGAATGCCTATGCAAATTTCCTAAACAGGGCTTTTAAAATAAGCTAGGATTACATGTTTAACAGAAGTGTCCCACTTTTTACCTAATTTTTTTATATTAAAGAAATAATGTAAATCAGACGACTAGATCTAAAGTTATAATCTTTTAAACTGTTAAAAATCATTTCGGGCCATGTTTTATTAATCAAATTTAAACATAAACATTAAGTTTTTCAAATTAAAATATTTTTTTTTTAATTGTAATGAAAAACCGGTTAACCGGTTTTTTCTGAATTTGAAAAATATCAACCGGTTTTTTTTAATGTCAACTATTCGAACTATTCGAAAACCGGTTTTTGGAAGAAAAAAATAGTTTAATATATGTATCAAAATCAGTATAAACTACGATAACATTGAATTTATAAGAAAACTATTTTTGTGCGATACCAATATAATGATATAAAATAAAATAGCAGTTACGACAATGTGAGAGTCGTTCTATAGTTGGATTCAGGTATTAGTTCTTCAATGTATAATATTTTTATCAAAATTGACACCTTCAGAACAAGTTCTAGGGAAGTTTTACACCTTCATAGAACTACTACTAAAACTACACATGTAATTATTTTTGCTTTAATTTTTAAAGATTTTCAATTACTGCAACATAACGTCTTTACTTACTTTTAAGTACGCTTATAATGACTTACATATAATCAGATATGTAAGAAAAAAAATTAAATCGAAATAACTTATTTAAGTAGTTATTTGTGAGCGAGCGTGTTAGATACTTGAATCCAAAGTCATCACTGTGTAAAAGTAATGAGTTAAAATGCTAATGAATTAATAGTGAAAAGCTTTTATAGCTTTTAAATTAATTTCTTTTCAATGTAAGTTTTTGCTAGACCGACGCATTGAAGAGCTTCTTTTTTTAGATATAAACGTTATTTCTTTACAAAAGTAACTGCTCAATGTGATATATTATATGAAACCCTTCCAGTTCTAAGGAGAAAGAATCAAAATTACTTGTGTAGAAGAGCAGAAGATGCTCTGTATACGGCCCTGTGCTGGGCTCAGCCGAGTAGCTGTCACAAGAAAGACAAGTATGTATATTGTATATTTCACAAGAAGTATTTATCGGCAAGAAATTGCCAGTGACATACAGAGTTATGTACTTAGATGTAATTCTTGAAGAGAATTAAAATGCAGACACCACATACAGGATACAATCAATAAGGCACATAAGTGCTGGGCGCTATGTTGGAGAATCATAGGCATGAAATGGGGTCTTAGTTCTACTATGATACATTGGCTTCATAAAACTATAATTAGACCAATTCTAGCTTATACTTCTTTGGACAAAAAGTATAATATCAAACTACTACAGGGAATTCAGAGTACATTCTGCTTGGGTATAAGTGGTGCCATGAGTACTGTGTCAACCATGGCTATGTAAACATTGCTAGATATTCCACCCTTTGAAATATAGAGATATAAGATGTGAGGCAACACTTAGAGCCGAACGCCTCATAACTTTAGGCGAACTGGCGAAAAGCGGTGCACTGATTGAAAATTTTTTAGGAATGACGTTCAGGAAAAAGAGTTTCTGAACATCGGACGATAATGCATTCAGTGAACACTATATAAGGTTTTTGTATGAAAAGGAGGGCACAATAGCCCCGTTAGTGGCCTAGGTGTATTTCTTCAGATTTGATCATGCAAAATGCATGAAAAATTTTTTTTTTTATTTTAAAATTTAAATTGATCAAAATTGATTTTTAACCGGATTCAGGAAGTTGTTTCAGATCAAAAAAATAATTAACAGAACAATAATTTTAAAAAGTTCTACAAATTTTAAGGTTGGCTATCGAAATAGTGATATCTATCTATCTAGCTATCTATCTATCTATCTATCTATCTATCTATCTATCTATCTATCTATCTATCTATCTATCTATCTATCTATCTATCTATCTATCTATCTATCTATCTATCTATCTATCTATCTATCTATCTATCTATCTATCTATCTATCTATCTATCTATTCTATCTATCTATCTATCTATCTATCTATCTATCTATCTATCTATCTATCTATCTATCTATCTATCTATCTATCTATCTATCTATCTATCTATCTATCTATCTATCTATCTATCTATCTATCTATCTATCTATCTATCTATCTATCTATCTATCTATCTATCTATCTATCTATCTATCTATCTATCTATCTATCTATCTATCTATCTATCTATCTATCTAAAAATGGAAACCCAAATTCCATTCATTACCTTATGACTATTTCAAAATGCGTTTCGACCTTGAAAATTTATCATGATAAATTTTATCTTATTAATAGCAAATATTTATCGAATTTTATAAACAGAGCATACGAAATAAAATATTCTCCTTTTTTTTCTCACAAAAACATTATTTATTTAAAAATTCTTACTAATAATTACTATTTAGTTAAAACTGTCTTTAAAAAAGTTTGTTAATCAATAACAAATAAATCAATTATTTTATATAATTTGTATTTGTATCTCAACGTCGAATTGCTTGTTAAATGTGTCTATTTATCTGTTGGTAAACTTATGAGTAAAATAATTTTATTAGAAAAAAATTAAAATTAATAATTATTCAACTAAATACAATTAAGTGAAGTAGATGGTAACAACGTACTACAATAAGTCCGAGTTTTGTATTTTAGAAATTTTTTAAAAAATCTATAAATCAAAAATTAAATTTTATTAATGAACACATTCATTATAGGTGGGCAATGCATCTGTTAGAGATTCTGCAAGAAAGAAAAAGAAAATAAAAATACATATTTATCTTTAAATAGTATAAAACATTACAAACTTACAGATATATAAGTATAAATGAACATTTACCTTAAACTTTATATTAATTGAAGAAGCATTTTAAAAATTTATTTTTTTACATTTAGAAATATTTACAAAGCAACTACATTAATCAAAATATTATTAAGCATATTACATATATAAGTAAGCATTTTGTTTTTAATTTTATTAATATGTTTAAATTGTTTATATTAAAAACATTATTACAATTATTTACATTAAAATGGATTAGTAAATGAGAATAATTTACACACTCATTCGTATTTATTTAAAAAATAATTATGCAAAAGCAATATTAATACATATAAGAATAAAAATTGTTTTCTTAAAATAAATACAAATACATACATACATACATTCATATATTTACAATAAATTTGATCTAAGATATTTATTAATTAAAAAAATCAACAGTCATTAATTGCTAAATAAAACCAAAACCAATTAAATAAGAATTTATTTTTTTTAATTAACTTCAGTTAAGTAAAACCCTAAATAAAATTTTTTAAAAAATAAAATATATTAGCTAATATTCAGGTAGGTCACAGAATTCCAATCTGTATTATTTCCGTATTGTTTGCCTCCTCAGAAAATAAAAAATTCTTACGGAATGAAACCACTTTCAGTTTTTAAAGTGGAATTAAAATTTGTATGGATTGAAAAAATTTTTCATAGTTTTTATAATAAAAACTTTTACTAAAAACATGGTTCTTGTTTTGATTAGTTAAAAAGTAATTCTGTGAAAATTAACGAAATAATTCGGAATTTGGGGAAGCTAAAACAAAAACGTGAGAATGATAATAATAAGGAATTGAAATCATTCCGATCGAAATGTGTGACGTATCTGATTCATATTCAAAATTTTTAAAAGTTTAGGAATACGATATGGAAATCTTTATTTTTGAATTCTCGGGAGTGTTATTGTGTATTTCGATTCGAAAGAACAAATTTTTGAAAGTCAATTTCTTACAATTTTTAATGATTTTTTTTTCTAAATGAGTTTCAAAATAATCTTCTAAGATGACAAATTAATATGATGTTTTATAAACATTTTGTAAAATAAAAATTTATTTATGAATAAGGCCTTAAATGTATTACCCTTCAAACTTACGTTATCCAACATATAATGGTAAAAACCTAATTTTTAATACTTATTGAAATGGTTTCTTCAGTAAAAGAATCCCCAAAAGTATTACTTATTTAGGTACATACACTTAACGAAATTCGTTACTATTCTATAGGAGTATAAAATTTAAAATATTTAAAAAAAATATATTTCAGAAATTTTCAATAAAATTTAAATATATAATTACAGTGGCGGTAAAAATAATTGCAATTATAACAAAGGCCGACAAATTTTTAACCCAAAGACCAAATTGTACTTTTTTAAATTTCAAGAAACGATGTCTTAAATATCAGGCGTGATAGTCAAAATCTGAGATCAGATTTGGATTCAGTCTCAGGGTTTCATCAATATAATATTTCAAATTAATAGTTAAAGTCTTTTTTTATTTCATATTTCGTTTTTTTTTTTTTCAATGTTTGAATTCAAGTATGGGTAATTTCAAAAAATTTCGAACAAAATAGTGGGATTTTGAACATGACCCTTTCCGATTTCGCTGAAATTCGGTACATACATTCTTCGTGTAAATACGAAATTTTAAGTTTCCAAAATTTCTAAATTCTTTTCGGTGTTCAAAGTTCATATTTATTAGGACTTTCTTCAACAAGCATTAAATTTGACATCGTATATTTTCTAAATTATCTATCCGATTTTAATCGTTTTGTACCCTAATGAAAGCCTATATCTTTTAGTTTAACCATAATTTATTTGGAGAACTTTCGTAGTTATACAAAGAAAGTGTGTACAAAATTTCATTAAAATGGGAAAAAGTTCGAAAATTTTTGAAATATCCCGAATATTTTATTTTCATTAGCCCAATTCACAATAGTGTGTATTAACACTGTAAAATGTATGCAATTGTGATGATTATTTTCTAGTAAATGTGAGCGACTTTATCTGCTTATATTTACAACATTTGTAAAACTCAACCAAATTTCACAGCTGATTGCAGGCTTTTTGCTTAAAATCCATAAAAAAAAATTAATTTCAAAACGTTTCATCGCAAGTAATAATTCAGTGCAAAAATTATTTTCTCTTTTTGCGTTTAATCAGCATTTCGAACAAGCACAATCAACTCTCAAGGTCTCTCGGCTTCAATCCGGACATACAGACGGACGGACAGACAGACGGATATGGCTTAATCGTCTCCGCTATCTATAAGGATCCAGAATATAGGTATATACTTTATAAGGTCGGAAAATTATATTGAGGAAATTACAAACGGAGCGAAAATCAGGACCAAACCGAAATAATCAAAACAAGCAAGAAAGTTAGTCGGCCTTGGCCGACCACGTGTAAGAGGGATTTATTATTATAAAAACGTTGGTTATGTTGAATTTCATCGTTAAAGTTAATTATGGACGTTTAATTCATTTTCCAAGGGGGAGTTTGTATCTTGGCTAGGTTTAAAAGAGACCCGATCATTATAAAAATCAGCAGTATCATTTACGCTTATATAGAATTTTTGAAGAGATGTTAGTATATTTGACGGGTGTATGAGACAAAATCTGTGGGCCCGGTTGTATGGGGGCTCGGCAAAATAATGTACCGATTTCAACCACTCTCTTTGGGCAGAAAAACACGTATGTTACAAAATTCATTTTGAAAATTACTATCTGCACCTTGCGCATGGACAGCCAGAAGGACGGACAATTCTTAATCGACTCCGAATTATTTCGTTTCTTTCCATTTCTGTATTATTCGGTTCTATTCAGAGTTCAAAATTTTGGTAATTTTGTTTCAGGTTAGAAAGTTCAGGATCTTCATAGCCAAACCAAATGACAACTTTGATTTTGCCACAAATGTTTTTAACTGTATCCATCCTTCTTAATTTGTATCACCCATTTCACTTATTTTGAAAACTAAAAAATTCTGAAAGCTTCAGGAACATTATTACTTCGATTAAGTACTTAGAACATGCGGATCCATTCATGCTCTATTTAGGAAGTTAATAGAAAAATGTACACTACTGTTAACAATATTTCATAGTCACGTTTATACGAATTTCATCAAGTGTATGTTTGATGAATTACAATCTTAATAAATCGAATATTTGTACTGACGCTGTTGTCTTTGCGTTAATGATGCGTTACTTGTACTCGGTTGGGAGTTACAATAAGCATTCGGTTCATAATCAGCATGAACAAGCGTTTTTGACATGCAATCATTGTTTGAAATTAAAGCGGTATAAGCATTTACATTTATATCATTGTTAGTATTATGCACATTTTCATTAATATCATTATTATTATTATTAGAATTAAAATTATCACTACAACAAGTTCTACAATTGGAGCTATTGCAACTAACACTAGTGTGGGAAGCGCAAGCAGATTGTTTAGAGACATTAAAATAGTCAAGAGTAGAAAGGAAGCGTTTAAAGGCGGTAGATAGTTTTATGTCAATACCTGAATCAGCCAAACGAGCTTTTCCATTTGTAGTCGTTGATTCGTTAGTGTTGGACTGTCGATGCTCTACAGATCCATTGCCATTGACAGTGACTTTGGAATGTCCATTCATTAAAGGCACTATTTGTTTGGATTCTAAATCATAAAATAATTAAAAATTTGTATGTTAAACATCTAGAGTATTTGTATTATACTTACCAATATTTTTTTCCACATCTTCATCTTCTTCGCTGCCAGTTGTACCATTTCCAGATTTGTTTATTGCAACAGTTCCGTTCTTTCCTTTCAAGGGAGATTCATCTTTAACAAAACGCATTAAGAATAAGATGGCAGAGCCCACAATTGGTGGTATGCCAGCCAATATGAGCGGCAGTGTATACGATCCCAATTCATCGTAAATTCTTCCGGCTATTGGAGGACCCACTGTGAGGGGTATTGAACTTAAGCCTAATAGGAAGCCAATAGCTTGTGTGGCACCAGATGGACCACATATTTCGTAGGCAATGGGTCCCAGCAGTGATATGAAACAGCCGTCGAATAGGCCCATTACTAAACTAAAGACGATTAACAGAATGTATGAACTGGTAAGCGGCAGTAACAGGGTCACCACACCAATACACACTAGTGACAACTGTTGTAGATAAATTCGATTTACACCAGGAAGATCTGCTATGGCTCCAAATATCAGTCGTCCAAGGCCGGAAGTAATGCCAATACACATCACCGGTAGATTTTCACTTTTTCCCGGAAAAACAGTCTGTACAAATTTCATCATATGTACGTAGGGTACGAAATAACCAAAGAGGGCCAGTGGTACACACAAAGCCCATATGACGTACTTCTTTTTCTTCCAGATATCAACGTTTATAATGGATCTCAACAGCATGTTTGCCTTTGAACGTCCTGGTTTATTCTTTGGCGGTTCTGGTGGTGGATGCAGTGGTTTGTATACAAATGAACAGATGATTATAAAAGCAGAAATCAGACTCATTATTCTCAAGGTTACTTCAAGGCCATAGCCTTTTATTAAATAGTCTAGGCCAGGCGGCAGTATGACGGTGAATACACTGGATCCCGCAGTAACAAATCCACTCACTTTGCCTAAGTAACGCTTAAAATAATGTCCTAATATGGCCAGTGTTGGAGTGTAGGCTAGGGCAGCGCCAAAACCAAACATTATACCGTAGGTGATGTAAAGAGCACCAATATTTTCAGTAGAAAATGAAGAAAGCAATAGCCCACCAGAGGATAACAGACCACCGATTAGTGTTGTCAAACGTAGACCAATCTTGTCCGTTAAGCAGCCGGCTACTGGTGATAAAAGGAATGTTGTACCAATTGTTAGAGAACCAACAAGTGCTATAATAGAATATAAGATAAAATAACATTTATATTAGAGTTTTTAAAATTTATGGTCTATATACTATTATTAATTAATTTTTAGGCTTTAATTTCAAATTTGAAATTGTAAGAATTAGAAGACGCGCGGGTGCTTAGCCAGTTTTTCTACCGAGCGTATCACCAGATGACGAATAGGTGGTAGCAATGGACAACCAACCATATCCCAGATATAGTTTTACATAAGTTGATAGAGGTCTATCATCTTAGAATCTTGTATTACCTGCGGACCAAAATTTAGATACGGGTTCCTCTAAAACAAAAAAAACATCTATGAACAAAAGAGTACTACGATTGTGACTTCCGACGCAGACAAAGCGCCAAGTATATAGCATTTAATTGGAAGAAATGTAGAATGGAATAAGAGGAACGTAATGGGAGATAGCTCGAAGCCTTTAGTTGAGGGGTTCGACCCTGAATCCTCAGATGATAATAACAACACCATCATACCAAATCCCATAAAGGATGAAGTAGAGCTAATGGTAAAGGTTTACTGAACCTAAAACAAGTTGAAGAAGATGCTTTGCGATCACTTCTAAAATCAAACGACTACGTCAAGAAGGTATTTTTTATGTATATAAAAGCTGGAATCAACGAATTGATTCATAATTAACATACATATGTATCGTAAGAGTACATATGTATGTTAATTGTGTCCGGCGGACCTTTATATAGGATCTAGCTGAAATCGTGAGTAGGATCGGTCTACTATCAACTGCGGTTGAACTTAGCCAGACCTTTTTAGAAATAAGAACACACTTTTATGGACCCACATTTGGATGTATGTATTACGAACTGGATGACCATAAAAATTTATTGTGAGAAAAATTGCGTTTTGGTTTAAGAATCGAAGAAGAATCAGATTTCGTGTGAAAACAGCGTTTAATATTAAAAAGTTGGTTAGAGTTCGTCTAAACATGGCAAATTTTGTAGCAAATGACTTTTGACATTAGGGGAGGTATCAATTAGAAGTCTAGTATTTCAGACATTTTAATTTATATTATTAATCCAATATAACATTCTTGTTAGTTCTTCGTTGGCATTCAAAAAATGTTTTGGTGCTAATTAAATTGGATTCGTTATTCTACAACCGATTTAGTGTATTGACATATGTAAGTAATCTTTAATTAATGTTTTTTTTTTCTATGAACCTAATTTCACATCAATCAAAAGAATTGAAAACCTCATATACGCACAAATCGTGTTATTAATATTTCTAACAAAGTATGTTTCTTTTGTAATTAAAGATCTGAAAAAAAGTAAAGAACTCATTACGAATTCAAAATATTTGTATGGTTTACAAAAAGACAAATCGTTATTATTAGCACCATTAGTCGTAACCACAGTTGGCCATGTCATCAATTGTTTAAAGCCGACAAATAACAAATCGCATTCAATAGAGACGTTACCAATTAAGAAGAAAATTTTTTTTAGATGTTAAATTAATTTAAAAACAGAACAAAATATAAAACAAATATAAAGAGCATTAGATTAGACCAGTGGCTCCCAAGGTTCCATTTAATTCAAAGTATAAATTATTTTTCCCCAATGAATTTTCATTCAGACAACTGAATGAATCCCGGTACAATATATTAGAATTTTCATTCAAAAAAGTATTTTTTTCTAAGAATGGTTAAAACAAAATAACATTTTCGGGATATCTGATCCCATTTTCAACGTTGTTGAAAATCTGTTCGAGATTTCTCGTGCTATGAACCATATTTTAAAAGGAAACGACAATAATTCTCTCAAAAACATCGGTATACAGATAAAAATTTAAGTTTTGAAACAAAATAACATGAGACATGCTACAGACAAGTTTGGGAACTACTGTACTAGACAGTCTGCAAACAAATGCTGAAGGCAAAATTCATCACTGGGTCCAAAACAAATCAAAATAATGCGCAACAGCACGGCACCACATTTGTAGCAAACGCACTCACTGCGCGCAATTAATTTAATTATCGTTTGCCGCTGTTTCTTCTATTGTCTTTAAGATTTTGCATGTAATCGGTTGAAGTCAGTATGTCAGCTAAGATTTACTTACTCTCAAAATGATTGTGGCAAGTGTGCAATTAACAAATATTTTCTGAAATAAATATATTTACAATTGAATTATGTTTACAACACATGAGATTTGATTTATACTCGTAATCACAATCAAATAAACTTTGGCGCTTTCATTTATTATTTAGAAGCATTTTGACAAGAGTTTTTAGAGCATTTAAAACTTATTCAATTGAAAGGAAAATGTTTTAATTAATTCTAATTTCTGTATGCGTTAAGTGTGCGTTCACAAAATATATTTATTTTATTTAATGATCTTTCTTCTGCAACATGATAAGAAGAACAATATAAATAAATAATTTTATTTACAAATTAAAAGATTGCATCTTTTAACTTGTATTCATCTTCTATGGCCTAAAAACACAGAATTTAACTGAACAATCAGAACACCTAGAAATCCATACGTCTAACATGGAAGTGTGATGAGTTCATCATAACGTTTGTTTTATGTCGAAATGTAACTGATATTGACATGCATTTCATATAAATATTACATTTAATTTAGCAATGACAATGTAGGAAATACAAAATTCTACTTTGCCACTTCGATTTATACAATTGTTGAAATTTGTAGCTGACGGTGCATAAAATTTAAAAAATGTTAAACACAAAGGTTTGTGCAATGTATGCACTTTTTGTATTGCCCCTGAGATTCTTGATCATGTTACATATTTGTTTTCAATTTTAATAAATCAGAATGCTACACAGAGAACACAGATTAGTTGAGGCAAGAAAATTTTTATTCTATTTTTTATATATTTTTCATTTTTCTTAGCTAAATTCATGTCAGATCATCAATATTTATACCCTACACCACTTTAGTGGGGAGGCTATGCCGAATTTTAAATACCCTCGACCTATAAGCTACTTTTTATGAAAACCCATCTCAATATTTTGAGAACGTATTTCATAAATTGTGAAAGTTTACATTTTGCCTCCGTGATGAGGGTGCTACCGTTTAATAATTGCTTTATACATCTATGGAGCTAATATTGATCAAGCCCATAACAAATTTATGGATCTTTTATGGGAGATATGACCAATTATTGGCCAATCTGAACAACATTTCGCAGAAATCGATGTCGGATTTTATCCTTATATACTTACTATATGTAAATGAAAATGAAAGTGACTTAAGGAAGTGGACTCTATATGGGAGACAAGACCAATTATGGGCCTATCCATAAAAAAATCGGAGTGATTTGTATATACAAAAAACTTTTTTATGTGGAAATTATGCGTTTTTCGGAAGTGGATCTTTTTAGACCAATTATAAACCGATCCGGAAAAAAATTGGTAGAGTCACACATATATGTATGCACATAACATATCGCCACCTAAAACGCAAACGGCCCTATCTAACATTTTTAAAATTATTGAAATTGGAAAGTTTTTTTCTATCATCGCGATTTATTTGTAGTAAATAAACAAATTGTTTAATAGTGAAACCTATCAGTTATTATGATAGTTGACAATGGCGTATATAAAAATGGATAAATTGGATTTTGTACCTTTAATATTTACATGTTTTTGAAGATAGGGCCTTTTGTTTTTTTGTCAATCGCTAATTTTGGTCGGAGAAGTCCAATCACTTTAAACACATTCATCGCGAATTATATACCGGTATCTTCGTAATGAAATATGTGCGTTTACGTAGTTATCGAAAGTGGACCTTATACGAGAGCTATGCCCAATTATGGACCGGTCCAAAAAATATTTCTCAGAGTGATATATGTATACACAGAACATATTTATGTCGAATATCATTCGAATATCTTTTTCTTAAATAGTTATGTGCATTTAAGTGATTCTCGAAAGAGGGCCTTCTATTTGAGCTATGACCAATTATGGACCGATCCAAAAAGATCGGTTGTCAGAGTGGTTTATGTGTACTTGACATTTCTGACTTAATTTTTGCACCGATATCTTCATTCAGTAATGAAGTATGTGCACTTAAGTGATTGTCGGAAGTGAACTTTATATGAGAGCTATGATCAATTATGGACCGATACAGATCTACGTTGGTAATATGGTTTCTGTCTATATTATATACATATATATGTGCAAAATATTTTTGGTAAAATTATTAACGATAAATCCGTTTTCGAGAATATTGATAGTTTTGATTTTGAACATAATCCCTGGGCGAAAAAAATTGCGTGTGACAAAATATATCGAATTATCTTCGGTGATTTCTGAGTAAACTGCTCGAGAATTAGGAAAAAACTTTTTTTGAGGTAGTCTGAAATTTTTATACCCTACACCACTTTAGTGGGGAGGGTATATTGGATTTGTGCTGATGTTTGTAACATACATAAAATATTCGTCCTAGACCCACCTTAAAGTATACCAATCGGCTCAGAATCGTTTTCTGAGTCGATTAAACTATGTCCGTCCGTCCGTCCGTCTGGCTGGCTGGCTGTCCATGTAAACCTTGTGCGCAAGGTACAGGTCGTAATTTTCAAGATGATTGGATGAAATTTGGCACGCACGTTTTATTTGACCCAAGGACGAAGCCTATTGAAAATGGTTAAAATCGGTCCATTATTTCACCTAGCCCCATAGAACAGAACCCCCCGAAAAGGGCTTCTGAGCTCATAATTATGTTAAATATACAGATATATCGATAAAATACGGCAAAACTAAGTTTTATAGAAGTCTTGATAACCCTGCCAAATTTCATAAAGATCGGGCCCCATTTGACCCTAGCTCCCATACAAAGTCCCCTTCAGAAAATTACTTGAATGTCAAAAATTAACTTATAAACACAAATATCGCGATGAAATTCAGCACAAAAAAATGTTATATAAATATAAATATATTCACAAAATTGTATCGGGCTTGGTCCATATTTGCACCTAGCCCCTATATAAAGCCTGTTTCTGAAAATTATT